GGCTATGTTTGGTTGACGTACCGAGGGCCTCGGGTGAGTTTCGGGTGGTTAACGGATCATTTCTTGGCTTTAAAAGTTGGCAAATTTTCTGGTATTTTGTTCCAGAATTTTTCTTCATCGCGTTCGCGAAGGGTTAAGGTGAGCTGAGGAAGTTTTGTTCTTCGCGTTCGCGAAGAAGAGGACACGAACGTGAAGGGTTGGACTGTGAATGAATCTCGAACGCGAGAGTGGTTACGCATTCGCGAAGAACAGAAGAGGCAGCTGGGGCCCCTAGGACCATAGTTCCATGCGTTCGCGAGGTTGTGGTCGCGTTCGCGAAGGTTGGAGCTTGTAAGGCATCGTGTTCGCGAGGAGTGTGTCGCGTTCGCGAAGAGTAAAATGAGGAGGCAGAGAATTTGTTCTACGCGAACGTGAGAGGGAGGCCGCGTTCGCGAAGAGGAAAATCTGGGCAGGCAGTGTTATATTCAAAATCAGGGGTTGAACCCATTTTTCATATTTTGAGCTAGACACCACGGATTTGGGCAATTTTTGAAGGAATTTTCAGGGAGTTGATTGGGGTAAGTGTTCATCACTTGATTTTTGTTAAATTCCATGATTATATCTTGATTTTTATCATGTGAATTGGGAATTGGGGCGAAACTTTAGGGGGAAAATGGAAGAGTTCTTGAGATGGAATTTTGGGGATTTGAATGGCCATTTGGTGTCGGATTTCGAGATGTGGGCCCGGGGGCCGGGTTTGAGTGAATTTCGGGATTTGGCCTATTTTTTGGAATTTTTCTTGTGGAATTGGTTCCTTTATCCTATATTGATCACATTGTATTGCTTGTGGCTAGATTCGGGACGTTCGGAGGCCGAGTCGAGAGGCAAGGGCTTTGCGGAGTAGGATTTTGCTGGGTTTGAGGTAAGTAACGCTTTCAAACTCGGTTTTGAGGGTTTGAACCCCGAACTATGTGTTATGTGGTTAGTATTGAGGTGACGCACATGCCAAGTGACGGGAGTGTGGGCATGCACCGTGAGAATCGTGACCTAGTTCATTCCATGGCACCGCTTAACGACTCATTCTTGTTGATATCCGTGTTTCCATTATGTGATAAAGTAATTTAGTTGTAAAGCATGCTAGATATCATGTTATGACTTCACGTTGATATTGTTGGGACCCTATCGATGCCCCTTTTTTCTCGCAAAATCGGATTTATGATATTTGGGAGGACAACTCGTTTCCTTTTGGGAATTGGGTTTCAATTGAAGAGTCGCCACCTAATGATTAAGTGCATTAGGACACTAAGAAGAATTTTGATTTAGAAAACCATAGATTGGGTAAGGGCTCGAAATTATCCCGAGGGGAAGGTGTTAGGCACCCCTCAAGATCCACTAGTGTGGTTCCCGGTCATACTATAATTGTGACTTTAAGCGCAAACAAATAAGTAGACAAGTAAGAGATACAAATATGAGGGGGGTTTTCACATAATTGTTGCAAGTATTTTGGTGAAACAGATAGATTTTATTCACAAATAAACAAAGATCTTTACAATATTCCTCTCATTCTCCCGTATCCTTCTCTGTATGTCTATATCATCTAGCTATCTTTGTTCTTCCTTTACTTTCCTTTCTTGTATTTTCAACATTTCCTATAAAACTGATCTATCCATTCTCTCTCCTTTCTACTACATTTTTTGTTTAGTATGGTTACTATTCTAGCCTTACATTCTTGTTGGATTTGTGCACATATACTTCTTGGTGCAGGTATTCGTTGATTCCATAACACTTCATTCCTGTCCCACCATATTTTGTATATTAGAGCTACAATCACTACTGTAGCAAATTCTCTGCATCTCTTTCCCTGTATTCCCCTAGGTACTCTTCTCCATATACCTGTTAGATCATGTTTTGTTGTTCCTTTTTGCATCCATATCAGCATTCTTGTTAAGCATTCTTGTGAAAGTTTACATTCAAAGAATAGGTGCTCCACTGTTTCCTTTTGGTTTCCACATATCATGCAGTCACTATCTTTACTGATTTTCAGCTTTTGCAATCGATCCTTGGTCAGTAGCTTCCTATGCATGGCAAGCCAGCTAGTAAAGCTATGTTTTGGCATGTTCATCCGACCCCATACCCCTCGATACCATGGTTTATCCTCTTCTTCTCCTTTATACCATTGGTATCCACTCTTCACAATGTATTTATCCCCTTGTTTGAGCCATCCATTATTAACAAAGCCAGCTGCAAATTTGTTCCTGCAGGCACATATTTTCTTCCAATACCAGCAACTATCATTTGGTGGTTCATATTGCCACCAGTCCTGGCATTTTATATATACATGATAAACCCATTTCACCCACAGGTTATCCTTTTTATTTGCTATGTTCCACACATATTTTACCATTGCTTCTTCATTCCATGCTATGCAATCTTTTATCCCAAGTCCATCTTGTTGTTTTGATTTGCATACTGTATCCCATGCCACCAGTGCCATTTTAGTTGTGTTGCTTTTTCCATCCCGTAGGAAGCTTCTGCATATGCCTATTATGCTCTGTAAAACCTTTTTTGGGAGTATAAAGATTGATGCCCAATATGAGTGAATGTGCATCAATACTGAGTTCACTAATAGCACCCTACCAGCATATGAGATATTCCTTGAACTCCAAGTTCTAACTTTGATAGCCATCTTCTCTACAAGCATTTCACAGTCTGTTGCTGAGAGTTTCCTTGCTGATATTGGTACTCCCAGGTACCTAAAAGGTAAGGTTCCTCTTCGGTAACCTGTGAGCTCACATATGTCCTGGATGCACTGTTCCTCCATGTTTACACTATAGATATTTGATTTTGCTGCGCTGGTGTATAATCCCGATGCTCTTGAGAAAGTTTCCAGACCCCTTAGTATCATTTCCACTGATTGGCATTCCCCTTTGCAGAAGAACATCACATCATCCGCAAAGCATAAGTGGTTTAGTTTGAGTCCTATACATTTGGTGTGGAATTGGAACCCTTTTTGCTCAGAAATCCAGTGCATAATTCTTGAGAGGTATTCCATACATATGACAAAGAGCAGGGGTGATATTGGGTCCCCTTGCCTAAGTCCTCGATTGCCCTTGATGTTCCCATATACTCCACTATTTATAGCTATTGTGTACTGGGTAGATGTGATGCAAGCCATCACCCATTTTATGAATTTTTGAGGGAAATTTAGAGAATGCAGCATCTCTTCTACAAAGCCCCACTCCACAGTATCATAGGCCTTCCTTAGGTCTACTTTGATCAGGCAGCTTTTAGTTGTATTCTTTCTCTTGTACAGCCTCACCAAGTCTTGGCAAATCAATATATTGTGCACTATGTTCCTGCCTTCCACAAATGCACTCTGATTAGGAGATATTATCCTAGGTAGTACCTTTTTTAGCCTATTACAAAGCATTTTCGAAATCACTTTATAGATTGTGTTGCAGCAGGCTATAGGTCTGTAATCCCCTACTGCCTCAGCATGAGAGCCCTTGGGGATGAGAGTTATCACTGTGTTATTGACAATCTTCAGCATCTTGCCTTCTCTAAAGAATTCCAGTACTTCTTCCTTTACATCTGTACCCACAACATCCCAACAGTCTTTGTAAAATTGGCTTCCAAAACCATCAGGGCCTGGTGCTTTATCCCCAGCAATTGCCTATAAAGCCTCCTTTACCTCATTGTCTTTGAAATCTGCTTCCAGCTCAGTCCTTTGCTTCTCTTGCACTGTTGGTCCTTGTCTAATAATCTGGCTATGTACATGGTCTCTTCCCTCCATTCTCTTTCCCAACATTTCTGTATAGAATTCTATGAACGCATCTGGAATCCTTGCTGGATCATCAATGTCCTGTCCTATCATGTCCTTGATGTGGAAGATTCTGTTTCCATTCCTTCTAGCTTTTAGTAGGCTATGAAAGTATTTAGTATTCTGGTCACCCTGGTTGAGCCATTGTACCTTAGCCTTTTGTAGTAGGAACATGTTCCTTGCCTTTTCCCACTTGCTGCATTCTTCATTCAATCTTACTTCCTTATTGACCAATGCTACATTCCTAGGATCTTGCTGTACTTTTCTTTGACACAACTGCAAGCTATTTAGTGCTTCCTCTGCTCTTTTCTCAATATTGTTGAATCTTTCCTTATTAATCTTTTTCAAAGTGCCCTTGATTCTGTGAAGTTTTCCCACCAGTTGATACATGTTTGTGCCCTGCCTATCTGTTTTCCAGTTCTCTTTTATTCTTTCTTTAAAGTCCCATGCCATGCTCCACATGTTATAGTATTTGAATCTCCCTTGCACCTGCTGGTCACTTCCTTCCCAGTTTATTATGCCTGGGGAGTGATCCAAAAGCCCTGGCTGCAAGTAATGGACTTCTGATGCTGGCAGATTTGTCATCCATTCAAGATTGGTGAGCACTCTGTCTATTCTACTCATTACCCTGTCTCCACCTGCTTGTTTGTTGCTCCATGTATAGTAGGCTCCTGAAGATTTCAAATCTTGCATAGAGCATTACTCCATGCATTTCTTAAAATCTTTGATTTCTGCTAAAGCAGCCCTACTTCCCATTCTTTCTTCAGCACTCAGAATGCAATTGAAATCCCCCATTATTGCCCATGGCCCTTTGTTCTGCTGGTGCATGCTTTTGATATCCTCCCACATTTGTCTTCACATACTTTGGTTATTAAACCCATACACTACTGTTACATTGAACTTGTTCCCTGTCCCTCTATGATTGACCATACAGTGTATAAGTTGTTCAGTTATCATTGTTATATTGACATCATATACCCCAGGTTTCCATACAATCCAAATCCTTCCTGCTGGATGTTGTACTAAATTTGTAGTAAAAGACCACCCCCTACATAGATTAAGAGCAGCATGTTGTGCTTTAGCTCTCTTAATCTTAGTTTCAAGGAGACCAAACAGGCCAACTTTCTGGTTTTTCATAAACAGATTCATTTCATTCTGTTTATGTGGCCTATTCAATCCCCTGGTGTTCCAGAAACCTATTTTATCCATTGGATGAGGGGTTGCCCCCATCCTGCCCATTTCCTAGGGCCATTTCCCTCCCTTTCCCTTTTCTTGTCCTGTTCTCCACCACCTCTTCATATTCCTTTTCTGTTTTCTCCTGCTGCTGGTCCACTAATGTTGCAAAAGAGCTCCCAGTTTTAATTATTTCCTGTTGTATTCCTTCCCCTGATTTTCCTCTTACTACATTCCTCCAAACTCTGGATGTTGTAGCCCCTGCATTTGCACTGGTTACAGCCCCTGCAGTTGTATTGGTTACTACCATAGTACCCTTATTGTCATTGCTTGTTGGCCCCTTCTCTTGATGTATTTGCTTCTGATCCCCTTTGTTCTTCATATTTGTAGCTTCCTTTTCCATTTGTGTCTGCTCCTGGATTGTACTTGGTTCTTTTAGTTCCTGCTTGTTTGTAAGTTTTTCTTTCTCCTCTTTTATAAACCTTCTGCATTCCTTCAGTTCATGTCCAAAATTCTTGCATTTTCCACATAGTGTAGGTTTCCATTCATAGAAAACCTCCTGCTCCACTATCCTGCCCTTCTCATCTTCAAACATTATTGTTTCTGGATATTTTTGATGAGGCTTAACCTCCACTAGAACTCTTGCATATGTCAACCTCTCCTTTTGTGTTGTAGCTCGGTCTGCCTTCATTGGTTTTCCTACAAGTCCAGCCAATTTTGTGAGAGCTGTTTGTCCCCAATACTTTATATCCAGTCCAATAAATCTGATCCACATTGGGATTAAGTCCACTGACTCCTTTTTCAAATCCATGTCTGGATTCCAAGGTTTGACCACCACTGGCTTTCTGTCGAACATTTAGACTCCATCTTCAATTACTTTGGTTCTGCTTTCAATGCTATGGAATCTCACCATAAACACTCCTCTATTCATCGGTGTTATTATGTCTATTCCAAGTGATCCCCATATCCTGTTAATGTAACCTTCCATCACTGATTGTGGTGGATTAGATCCCAGAACAAAGCACACCACTACTGATTTCTATAAGTCGATTTCCTCTTTTATGTCCTCCATAGTTATCTTCACATTCGAATTTTCCTGGTTTTGTCGCGTAAGGTCCAGTCCTTCAGTTATGGGGCTTGCAACAATTTTGCTCCATGATTTAGGGCTCATTTCTTCTACTTTCTTTTCCTCCATCAATTGCTCGTCAATCTCCACCTTTTCCGCCCATGATTTACGTTCCTCATTCTGTTTTTTTCCTCCATTTCTGTTATTTGTTATTCGATTTCCATTTACATCACTATTGACCATTGATTGACTCAAATCTAGTGGCTGTATCCCTTGCAATACATTGATGCTCCGAGTTCTTTTTGCGTCTGTTGATTGTGGAATTCCTTTTGTAACCATCGCGTTGATCACATCTGATCCTTGCATGTTCGAACCTCCGCCCCCAGCTCTAGATTTTCTCGTCATTTTCAGCTATGGCTGAGAGGAAATTTCATGGTAGAGAGAGAAAGTTTTTTTTGTAATTGTTGCAAATGATTGAAGTCAAAAGAAGTTAAAGAAGCTGGAATTTGAGAAGAAGCAGTTTTGAAATTCTAAATAAAATGAACGAGTAAAGGGAGGAGGGTCCTAGGTTTATAAATAATATGGATCACCCCACACAACACCCGGTAACCGTTTATACACGTGGTGTTATAGCATGGTCATCATATCCATATCTACCTTTTCCCACCCCGTTAAGGTATTAAACGCGGAATGGTCTCATTTCACTTATTGCATGCTATTACCCGCCCCAATCCTATCAGTCCCGGAGGCATTTGGGACTACTAATCCTAAAGGGAAGGGGTGTGAGGGAAGGGGTGTGAGGTTTTGTAGTTTTAAAAGGACAAGATTCTAAGGTGACAATCAAAACACATATGTAGCAGATATGGGGAGAAGCACATAACAGAGAGAAAGGCTCAAACAAACCTCCTTAAAACCAAAGAGAAGCATGTAGTTTAGCATGTCTTACACATAGTGATTAGGGTCTGATTAAACATAAGAATTAAAGCAGGCTGATTTGTTACATATTTCAGATAAGAAGCCGGATCAGGCCTGCCTGCTGGTTGTAGTTAATAAAATCTGATTCAATTTACCTTATGGCTTGCCTAAGTGTTAAACGAAAACCTATAGGAGTGATATCTATTAATTTCAGAAAAAGAAGTATGTTGATTTAGGAAAAGAAGTTGTCAGTTAACCATGAAGGCGAGTTTTGGTAAAAGAGCGTAAATTCTGCAGACGTTAAGCATTATCGTTACTTATTTTAGCCCTATAAGCGAATGAACAATTCAGGTTGGATTGATAGTTCTTATAGGCATGCTTTCGAGGCGTTATTGACTTTAAACACTTTTGCAGGCGTAATAAGAGGGCAGAAATCCTATGGGCATGATATCTGAATGTTGTTAGTTTTTAATCTTATAAACAGGTTTGCCTAGTGACCAATGCATATGCAGGATCTGGATTTCTGGTTAACTTATAGACATGTTATCTATATGTGAGATGTAGAATTCTTTATAGACATGGTATCTATATGTGAGATGCAGAATTCCTTATAGACATGATATTTTGTATGGATGCAGAAATGCAGAAAATCCTATGAGCAGGATATCTATGTGGATACAGACGTGCAAAGCTGTAAGCAGGATACATGAATACAGATGTGTAGTAATTCCCTATGAATATGATATCTACCCCTTCGCATGCATGGTTACCCATCCCTTTTTCACTAATCAACCCAGAAGTTTATTACAAAAATTATTACAGTCCAAAATAAAGAAACTACATCAGAAAAAAAAAGAATAAAATTACAACCAAGGAGAGCCTGATTCAGGTATCCTGCCTGAAGCATGAAGTAAACTTTGAAGATCAAGATCCAAAGCCTTTCTCATTTGGGGTGTGTCAGAGTTCCCTAAGAGCCTCATACGGACTCCGGGCAGTGCTCACACCCAAATAATTTGCAGGATTGAGTCATAGTGCAATGTGGAAAGGCCAGTCCTCAAGTGTCCATGTTCCGAGGGAGCTCAAGGTCCCAAGGCATGGCTCACAGGAGGGGGCAGAACTTAGAAGGTAAGAGTGAGTATAAGTGCATAGAAGGAATTCTAAAAAGGGGGAAAAGGGAAGTGACAAAGACAGGCTAGTGGGCATACCTAGCAATAGGAAATGCTGGCACACCCCACCAGCCCGTTAGAACACGTTGTTTTGGGAGTTAGGATCCCCAAAGGGATCGGGTCAAAACATGAACAATAACTTGCATATTGTCATGTTCTGAACTACAACTCAAAGCACATAGAGGGAAACAGAGGTGTAGGGATCCACAGCAGAAATAGATGAAAGGAAATTAACATGCTAGTTGGCATTTAACTCCATAAAGAAAATAAATTAAACATGGATGTAAAAGCTGTAAGTAAAACACATTGGGGTGATGCTGAAACCAAAACTAGAACATACCAGTCACAAGTAATCAAGCAAAAGAAGGCAGTAGTCTTGTAAAGTCAAAGTGCATACAAGAAGCAAGAATACCCCAAGTATGAGTTTTGTGAGATTGTAAGTGTGAAATCTGAAGTGTAAAAATGTTGAATTAACCGTGTCTCTTGTGTAGAAAGGGTCGTGCCTTTTACAGTGTAGAAAGCAAGCAGAAATTGGAAAGAAAATAGTTTGAAAATCAATTACATAAGGTTTCCCTTTAATTAAGGGATTTTGATTTCAAACGGGTAAAACTAAATAAGGAAAGAGATTAATCAAACACTTTTCAAAGCAGTACAAGAGGGGTAAATACATAGAGGTTTATTTAAGGACAAGGTCTTGACAGTACACGGTTGTACAATTTAAGGAAAGGAAATCACTTAACGGCCAGTAAATCACAAGGTCTGAATTTGGTATGAATGAATCTAGTTAGAGAAGGTGAAGAAAGGTTTTAGTTAAAGAAAATCAGTATCAATCAATCAGACCCTAAAAAAAATATTCTGAATCCATCATAAGTTGGAAAACCTTTTTGGAGAAAGATTCATCACACATATAAAATCATACAGACACGCTTAAACACGAAGAACTAGCATGCCAATCAGTAGAAGAGTCTAGCGTAGAAGAAATTAAAAAAAGGTTCAGAATTGTATGCAAACAAAGAAGTTCAAACTTAGTTCATAGACTCAGAAAATAGTCCAAAAGAGTCAAGGGTTCAAAAACAGAACCCTAGTTCAATCACATGATCAAACCTCGGCAGAACCCCCAAATTCTAGGGTTTCCACCTCGAGTCAAGTACATAGATGAGGAAGTAGGTAGTCAAACAGGCTCAGAGATTTCTTTCAGAAACTCATGAGAAAGCAAGCAAATACAGTTGAAAGTTCAAAGCAAACAGAGTGAAGAAACTAATTCGAAACACAATGAGAGTAGAAGAAACAGTACAGAAAACATGCTTAAACGGGTCTCTTAAAACAAGGTAAAGTAGAAGTGAAACAGTAAACACTTAAGAACATGGTAGAAGGATACAGTAGGCGAAGCATATCAGGTCATAGTAGAAGGCAAATTGCAGAACATAGTGGGAAAGCATGTGAAAATATAGCGTAGAAACAGAGTAGAAGAACGAACGGAATATCGAAAACATAGTAGAAAACATGCGTGATAACTGAAAAAACATAAGAACATAGTAGAAGAACATGCGTGGTAGAAAAGAAAACATAAGAGCATAGTGGAGACAAATACACACAAAGAAAAGGAAACAAAAAATCGGAGAAACATTTTAAGCATTTCAGAAAACCCTAAATCGAAGAGAAGTGATTTTAAAAGTAATTTTTTGAAAGAAAAATTGGGGAAATTGTTTAAAAACCCAAGTAGAGCATAGATACGTAACAGATTTAAGAAAAATCGGAGAAAACCTCGAATAGTTAGGGTTCCAGAAGAACCCTAGAATGAGAAAGGCTTTGAAAAGGTCCGATCTTGGTCGGAAAGGTCAGAGATAGGCTCATAGGACCAGGATATGCCGGAGCAAGGCCGGCGTTGGCCGTGAAACTTCGAGCTGGCACAGGTCTGGGTGAAGACCTTCGAGGTCTGGCCTCGATTCTTCAAATGTCGAGCACACAGGAGTATCAGGGGGTGAGTATAAGGTTACCATGGTCGGAGAAGCCATGGTTTCCGGTGGGTTTTGAGGTTGAAGACGATAGGAGACGATTAGGGTTAAGGAAGGTTCGAGAGGGTTTGAGAGACGAAGGGGTTTCAAGGTGGCGTCTCCGGAGGGAAATGAATTAGGGTTGGGGTTTAGGTGAATTAAAATGGTAAGGGGGAATCGTGACCGTTGATCAAAATGATCAACGACCTGGATCAAACGAAAATCGGGCTTGTTTTATTTATGGGTTAGGGGTCGGGTTATATATTAGGACTTGGGCTGGTCCGTTTGAAATTGGAATTGGGTTATTGGGGTGGTTGATTTTGGCTATAATTGATATGCAAATAAGGCTATCAGTTAAATAGCCACTTTTCCCTTTTTAATTTAGAAAAAATAGTAAAATGATTTTTGAAACAAATTGAAGGCACTAAATTAATTAATAATATATAATCATTAAATTAAAAATACTGGAGCAAATTTTATAATTATAAAGGCCATTCAAATCTTGAAATAGGCTAAAATTGCATTAGTGCAAATTTAGCTTAATAATACCAAATCAATTTATAAAAATGTGTAAAAAAAAATTACCTTAGCTATATATTGGTGTAAATATGAGGATAAATAAGTGAATCATCAAAATGATAATTTTGGGAATAATTATTAGTTTTGTACTGTTAAAATAGGGCAATAAATGGGTTTAAAAAATCTTTTAAAATTT